CACATTTGAACTCGTCATCTTTGTCGTCTACCGTCCTATATCTTCGTCGACGTTCTCGAAGGCCTATGTCCCCGGTCCTGAATTTGACCATAAGCTTTGTTCCTGCATCCATTGGTCCATGTAGGTAGTCCTTGAACCCTATTCCTTCCTTCAACATTCCGTACACTTCTAGACCCTCCTTATCCTTGGATTCTTTCCTCAGATTCTGTTCTTCTCTCTCGGCACAAGCAACAGATAGATATCTTCTCCGTGAACCCCTGTAGACCCTCCGTTTCCAGCGTTTCATCTTCGTCGATGTCGAGCCCCTTCCTTACGTCCTCTACAACCTTGACCCATTCCGTGGGTTGTCTACCCCTCTTTTTGTTTGCCCACTTCGCCTCCCATACAATTCTCGGCAACCGCTCCTCTCCCATCCTGCATATGCGATACTGCCATGTCAGCTTTCTCGCGTCTCTTCCCGACCGTAGGGATTGGATCCCCATTTCTGTCCTGACGGCTGCATTTCTTGTGCGCTTGGAGCATCCTGTGGGGGGCGGCTTGTTTTACAACGTCGATGCCAAGCGACGAAAACCCAATCCCGATGGCAAACACCGAGGGGGCGGGGAGGGGTATTCGTGTTTGCTGACCTTGAGAAAGTCGTTTCTACGACATACCACGGTCCCCGCCCATGTTAGGCAAAGCACCGTTCGTTCGCACCGCTCGGTGTAGAAGCCGTAAGGTGTCAGCTTCTTCGCTTTATCCGGTCGCGTTGCCTCCCTCCCCCCCCCCACGCGCTCCCTTGGCGGGGACAAGCATGCAAATAATTGATGTGTTCTTGAGGCTGCCAGGAGGTAGCGGTGGGGCCCGTGTTGTTTTGGGGTGTTGGTGGAGCTCGAGAGCTCCGAGTTGTTGAGCTGCTTGGACTGGAGGTCGTTGTCTGTTTGTTGGAGTATGTGGCCACTATACACCCGCGGCTGAATAAAGCCGGGGTGGTAGGCTGTTGGCCTGTATCTTCCCACCCGTGTCTTTGTTTGTTTTGGAGTCGTGTGCGCCTCTTGTGGTCTACCGTCTGGTTGTTTAATTGCGAACCCGGGTATGTACGTTTTCTGGCTTTTTAGAGTTTTATCCTGGGCTTGCTTCGTTTCCCCTTTCTCTGTCCCCATTTTTTCTATCCTCTTGATTTCGGCGACGTTTTGGTATAGTATTGTAAATAAAAATAGGGCAGGCCCTCTTGTACCATCTTCGCGACGGGTGCAATAATTTCTTGACATGACAAAAACCCGCTGTACAGCGGGTTTACATCCAATTTGCAACGTCAGCATGACCCTGCTCCACGAAGCAGACCAGGCTCAAACGAAAACTAAACAAACACGGGCGCGCCCCAATATGACCACCTCAACAAGAATTCATCCCTCACATGTAGATGAATCTCATCACCACGAAGAAATACCGCCCTAAACTGCCCCGAACAGTGTGTCCCCGGTCCCTTACCACCGTAGTCCTCGTTGTGCTACGGTGACAGGAACCCCCCCGTCCTCCTAAAGCACACCAGCCTGGGTTTGGATTGCCGGCTTGTTTGCCCCGCAACCGACAGGGCTCCAGCGCCGGTGTCTCCGGAACAAACTAGACGAGCCTTTTTCCCACGATGCTGCCTTCAACTGAAGGGAAAATATATATGAGGTGCACACCATGTCGAGTCCTTTCGGTGGAGAACGCCATTGACTTTATAAATCCTATCCCGGCAGCGGGCAACGGGGGGTCGTTTCGCCCCGGCGGCCTTCTTGCGTACGTGTCTTCAATACTCTTCCATCACGATGTCCTCCTCCGTGCTGAGCACCTTGGTCATGCTCTTCGCCCACACCTCCTTGAGCCTGTGGACCATGATCCCCGAGGTGACCGCGAGGGCCAGCCCACCTACTCCGATCATGAACATGGAGAACCCGACCTGGGCGAGCCCGCCCAGCGCCGTGCCGCACATCGCGCCCTCGAAGTTCCGGTAATGCGAATCGACGAAGGAGCACCGAGACGCGCACCGTGCCGCCCAGGAGTCCGAGGACGCGTTTGCCAGCGCCCCCTGGCCCGAAAACGCCGCGGTTTCCGCTTCCAGAGGCGGGGTAAGGAGGCCCGCCAAGTCGGCGCGGAGGGCCGTGACGTTGTCGGCGAAGGCCCTGAAATAGGCCAGGAGGGTGTCGGGCGCGCCGGTGTAGCCGTCGCTCGTGCACGAGCAGGGTGACAGGGAGAACGTCGAAGAGGAGGAGGACAACGAGGAGCGTAGCGAAGACGACGACGAGGAATTTGAGCACTCTACGTTCGACGATGTCGTTGTGCATGTCAGGTCGTCCTGCATCTGATCTCGGTAGGCCCGCTCGCGCGCCGCCAGGTCCCACGCGGAGAGGAGGTCGCCGTTGATCGAGGAACAGTCCGACGAATTGAACACCCGGGACATGTAGTCTAAGGCCGTTTCGTCTGGGGATGGACCAACCGACGATGGAGTGCGGCATTGAACGGGGTGGGTGGAGAGGGGGTCAAGGGCTGACGTGAGGGCTGAACATGCATTGATATAAAGTTGTGGCGGGGTATCGCGTGGGCCGTCGGTTAATGTTATAATAGTCTGTGACTGCAAACTAGCAGTGTCCCGTTCAGTCTGCTGCAAGTGTTAGAGACAACGACGGTGGCGGGCCAACGATCATGGTATGGGGGGGCGGAGCCGGCATACTTGCAGTGAGGACAAACCCTGCTGTTCGTGCTGTTCTTAACAATGTAATTTATTTTGTTTTCAAAGTATTCTCCGTTGGATGCGACACAAACGTCCCCACAAAGCCTCGTGTGCGACGCCGCCTGCCAAGAGTTGAACCAAAAAACGCCCCCACCGCGCCCGCCCCGCGTGATATACCGAGTGCTGCGCTGCGATCGATCCTCCTACGGAATACACGCCGCATGATGTGTACCTCCTTGCCGCCCGAAACTCTGGCGCGTCCCGCCGGCCTGCCACGGAGTTAGTGACGCGTCTACCGTCGTCAGATTGCCGGCCGAATCGTAGCTGCTGCTGCTGTTACCCACGCCGCCTCCATCTTCGCCGTCGCTTGTAGTAGCACCAGTCGTCACTGTTTCTGCTGCCGTCGAAACCGTCGGAAGCGCGAGCCACGGCCGCCCGAGGTACGCGGTGGCCTCCTCGCCTTCGAAGGTGACATTGTAAGGGCAGTCCGGTTCCAAGAGGAGGGAGCCGTTGACCTCGGCGTTGGTGTAGAAGTCGAGGAGGGAGACGGCGCCGGCCGTGGCGTTGAGGGAGTAGACGAAGTCAGAGATGGCGTAGATTGTCGTCTCCACGTCCGTCTCCGCGAAGGTCGCGTTCAGGGCACCCACCTATCGATTGGGCGGGTTTGTTAGTTTTCAGGGGGAAGTGAGCCACGAGCGAATATCTCCAGGCATCGTTTTGAGGGTTGGGGTACGGGGGAGGAGGGCCGTGTGACTAAGATAGACAGAAGGAGGGGATCTACCCTGTCAGCTGAAGGGTCAGGTGTGAAATACTAGCACCAACAACCTCAAGTCAGGCGAGTGCCAACACCGGGAAGGCCTGGGTTTCCACCACCGTTGGGTTGGGTTGGGTTGGGTTGGGTTGGGTTGGGTTGGGTTATTCATTTTGCCGTGCGACCGTTTTTGCCGGGCATTAACACTCACCTGTTGGCTCAATAGTCGGGACGGCTTACACGACACGAGCTGCGGCATCCCCTTCCTGTTCACCAAATAACACCACCAGTAAGATATATACACACAGCAGAATCGGCAAAATACACCGATCGATGCCAACGTTGACTCGAATAATTTCAAAGCAACGATCGTGCGTGTTCACTCACTCACTGCGGTGGGTATACTGCAAGTCACCTCTTCTGCGGTGCCAGGATACGACTCGAAGAACCCCAAAGCATCCGTGATGTTAAACTCTTCCGTCACGGCGTTTCCACGGAGGCATCCATCGAGAACCTTCGGGGATAGGTTACGGCGAAGGAGATAGCGGCAAGGAGTTGAACTCTCAAACTCGACGACACGTCAATACCCTCGCCGTCGAGATGGCATTCATTTGTAAAAGGTGTGTAAATCGTTGTGTGAAAAGCAAACACGAAAGGCAGACCAGATTCCAAGGAGACGAGCAGTAGGGCCGCCGTCCCCTCGCTCTCCACAGCACTTACCGACCAACCTTAACCCTAACCCTAACCCTAAACCTCCTAAGCTCCTGTTTAGGTAATGACGGCCGGGGCCTAGTACTCTCAGATAACGCACCGCCGCGCTTAGACCGTCCACCCCGACGGTCTCCCAGCCTCTAGTGGCGGCTAGGTTCAAGAACTGACAGCCATCCGACCACGTGACGGCGCCAACGATGACCAGGGACGACAGGATGAACGACGCCCAGGTGGTCGTGAAAGTCACGGCACAGGTCAGGCGCAGCAGATTTATGCCTGTCGCAAACATGGGGTGGTGATAAGCATGTTGTTTGGTCAGTGGGGCGTGGGAAACGCGAACACCAGGACGTCGAGGAGGGGAAAACGACGAGGACGACGGTGGTGACGAAGACGACAGCAGCAGGCGGCAGCAGCAGCAGTAGCAGCGACAACATCACCGCCAGCCACAAGATCAACGACGACCGAAGCTTTTGGGTAGATGCGCGCGGCGCAACGAGTGTGCGCCATAAGCGATATCTTACATGGCGAGCAAGCCTTGCCCTTGGCAAGTCCCGCGGCGACTCCGAGCAGCCCCACCGCCCCGGAAATTCCCACCGCGGCCACCAGCCCCTGCGCGACAAAGATATGTTTTCTGTGATGCAAGAACGGTTTTTGAGATAAGTCATAAGTAGTGTCGTCAGGTACTGCATCACAAGACCCATTCTTGATTGAAAGATAATGGTTTATTGGCAACCGCAGGTGGTAACAAAGTGCCCCATGGAGCAACGAAGGGCCAACGATTTGGATACACGGACTCTTGAAAACGGAAGACCCGAGTACTTTGATATCTCCTCACGTTCGGCCCACAAGCAAGGCCGTCAGAAAAGGATGGGCTTAATAATTTGGTGGAGAGTACTTGACGTGCTACTACTAAGGATGCTAATCGATTCATACTGTCGTATGAGCAACAACAATTCCAACGCCAAAGCCTGGAATTCACGGGAGAGCGACAAAGTAAATCCTTGAGTGTTTCGCTATTTTCAACTACATCTCGATTTTTTTTTCGTTTTGAGGACGGCAGAAATGAGCTGACGGCCAATGCGCGCACACCTGTACGCCCGCTGTCCGCACCCCGGCGTACTCGTCCGACCATCTCCGAAAGTAGGCGAAACGGTCGCGGTTCTCGAGAGCTGTTTCATTCGCAAGGGCCAAGGCGGCGATCACGTTGAGGCTCTGCCCTTTCATTCTGTCTGTCATGTCCAGGAAGTCTTCCTGCACGCAGTAGGAGCAGTAGCAATGCGTTTATGATGGGGGGAGCTTACGTCTTGGTACTTTTGCTACGGCATTTCTCCAAACGAATTGCTGAAAACTTCCAACGATCCCGAGTGGTTTGTTGAGCCCTCAGAAGCGGTTGTCGTGCGAAGGTGAGACTGTTTGCTATGTTTGTTGTGAGGGAAGGCTGCTTTAATGTAGCGGCGGTAGCCCGGTAACCCCGCGGGAACCTGAAGGGTTCACAGTTCAACCCACAGGAAACTAAGCACGTTGAAGTGCGCAGAGGTGACTATTCTGTGCATGGAGGGGACGGATTGATAGGATCAAGGATACAGGTGTATCACCACCTCTTGATTCCAATCCGCGGGTACCCGCACCGGATCTCTCCATCCGATACCCTACCTAATGATTATGATCACCACCAAGTGAACCAAAGGAATCTGAGCCATTGTCACTGTGCCTGACAGCGAGAACTGCTGTGATCGTCTAACCTAACGGAGTAGAGATTAGGATAACGCTTGCTCGTGGAGTCTTGCTGTACTATTCCCCCTTGTGCCCGACATCGAACTCACCAGTAAGTAGTTTGATCTAATGATAGGAGTGTAGTTACCTCCGTAGTCTAGCCCACAAATAGACTGAGCTCAACCCCTCAGTAGACCAACCCTGACCGTACTGCGACAATAACGTGCAAATCTTTAGGCTTGAAACAAGCTGGAAAATAAATTCCATGTCGTGCCGCCAGGTCTAGTTGAGTGATTTGACTACAATGAACCCACGATTTGTTCGAGGAAATTTGCACCCACACCGTCTTAGCCTACATCGGCGTGTTTTCAAGTAACGTCACGACACGATTGAGGCTAGTCTCAAACGTGCTCATTCTACAGGGCCGAAGGGCACGACTACAAGAAGTTGGTGATGAAATCTAAGCAGATTGAGACAACATTAGCTCCTTGATGCGTAACATCGGAGGGTCCCACCCCTCTCACCCTCTCAACCCCTCCCACCTATCTAACTGTGTAACCATAACATCCCTACCTGGAGCATCTCCAAGGCCGTGTAAACGTCGTCGACAGCTTCCGACATGAAGTCGGCGCTGGCGAGCTCTACCCTTTCCGCAAGCACGTCAAACTCAGCGGCTCGACCTAGAAAGCGATCTCTGTTCGTCCGAAAGAGACAACAATAACCATGTCAATCACGACACACAACGCCACCACCAGCAGCAGCAGCAACAACAAGCAACCGAACGTAGATCAGCAGGCAACAAAAGGACGCGTTGGGTATTGATTGGAATGGAGCAGACGAGGCTACTTATTTCGCGTACAAACGGGCCAGAAACACAAACGCGTACTTGAGGGGACGACTTGCCTGCTGATATGGGTGGCAGTGGATGCAGCAACATACCACTTCGTCCACATAGGGAGAAGCAAGAACAGGGTGAATCTAGCCATATACCCAATCCATATCCCTCGAACGTCATTTTTTTTTCTCTTTCCCTGCCTGTGCGCACTATCGAACGAGTCGAGCCTGAGCCGCATGCCCGACTCCAGCTGGTCGATCCATTCGTCCGCGCTCGAAAGCAGCCGCTGGACCTCCTCAGCGGAGGCGTTGAGAGAGCCAACGAAACTCGCCAGGGGCAAGGACACGGAGGAGGCGAGGTCGTTGACGCCTTCGGCTGCCTCGTCTATGGCTGCGTCCGTTCACCGGTCATCCATCATTGGAGGCGCGTTGAAAAGGCACAGGAGGTGAGGATTGAACGACCCGTGGCGGAGATGCTGCCACTTGCGAAGAAGAGCTCTCTTCGGTGCAGCCCCCCAAAATCAGAGCTCATGTCAAGGAGACACGCAACGTCTCGCGGTAGGGAGGTACTGCCGACGATAGTTAAGACGACGAGCAGGCACTCGCAAGGTCACTCTGCCAAAGACAGTGGGTCGGAAATACGCAACGTCTTTGGTTTCTTTTTATTTTTAATATTTCTTGTCGCAACGAATACGCTTCACGGCGCACTCCAAAGGGCGTGTCTGATCGTGCCTATGCCGTACTTTACAGGGGCGGTGTCAAGCATAGTAGAGATCACCCTCTGCGGGCAGAAAAATGGCGTAGGGCCTGTGTGACGGCGCAACTTCAACCTATACAGACAGTGGACGGTGTGTGTTTGAGTGAGTCGCGCATGCTTGCTGCTGTACCCACACCTTGTGTACAGACGGGCTCGAGGGGGTACAGCGGTAGTGACGGCATTAAACCGTGCGGTAGCTAGTGGTGTGGAGACGGCAGGACAACGAATATCTTGGCGACACTACCCCTTACATATAAACATGAGATCCAGTCCCGAGCTGATGTGGCTGTTCCCTTGCAACCCCAGCAGTGCCGCCCCAACAACGGTCACAAGGCCACAGAAAAACACAGCCGCCGGGACCTTCTGTTCCAGGTCGGTGTACCCCGTGCGGTCTCGCTGCAGGTCGCTATCGCACACGCACTTGTTGTAAATGCCCCTTTTTTGTTGCGACAAAACGTGTTCCATGAACGAGGAGAATCAATTGTGAGACAGGCGCCTGAAACGTCACGTATGGTAGACTAGAAACATGTCAGCCCTGGGTTGCAAGCGATTGTGACAACCACTATGGAAAGTGCGCAAGCGCATGGGATGCATACGGTGGTACAGTACGTAATTAACAAGGTGTAGTCTAGAGGACAATACACACACATGTTCCACCTTCTCACGGCAAACTTGGCGCATCCTGCAAACACGGCCACCGCCAAGACCAACCCCAGGGTTCCGTAAGATAGCATGGCGGACTGCATGTAGTCTCGGGCAGCGCGCTCGTTGGCCTCGTACTGCACGTCGGTATACCGACGTCCTCGTGCCAGATACTCCCGAGGCTCCACCCAGTAGCAGTTTGCAACCCGCTCGCATAGGCCGGCCGCGTATGTATCTTGGTCACCATCGAGAGTCTGAATGCAAACGCCATACTCGTCTTTCGCGGCCGTGGCGTTCTGACTGGTCACGTATCTGTGTGTGCGATGATGAGGATTGGAGGGGGGGCGGGGTTGGGAAGGATGAACGGGTTCGCTGGAGGTGGTCCGAGAGAACGACGTTGATGTTCGCCCCGTTTGGAGAGACCTGGTCACTTTCTTCCGGCCGGCACAACAATGCTATCAAACATTGTTCTCACTAGAGACAACCCGAAAAACGGCGTCCTGGTGCGGTGCTGGAGATTAATTAATTAATTAATTAATTAATTATGTGGAGAACACCTTCATAAAGGTTGAAACTCCCCGACGTCTGTCGAGTACGAAACCCTCTTTTCCACAATGGCGTCGGCAAGAGATGTGAGGAGTTTGCTTTTGGTTGCAAAAGACACGGGTTCATAAACCAGCTGCTTACCTAATTTTCTTCCGGAGTACGGAAAAAGACAAAAGGTGGGTGGGCCAAGAAACGATGCACTGTCTATCGAACTCGAAACTTCTGGCAATGCGTGGCGGAAGTGGTGCACCCGCCCACACGCACAGAATGTTGGAAAAAAGGGGGTTCTACTCGCCGCCAGCCGGTCGGGTCGGGTTCCGGTTACCCCAAGAAGGCTTCTCTTACCTAGAAACAAGAAGAAACGAGGACGAAACCCTCTTTTCCACAATTAAGTAATTAAACGATTACTTATTTGACTGCTACATACCGGTGGTGCGCGCCCCGCTCCTCCTCTTCACAGTACTCGACAAGCAGGTTCGTCAGCGTGTCTTCGTACCAGGTGCCCTCCTGTCCGCCCGCCCGGCTTTTACCTGTCAATAACCTGGCTATACCCAGGCCAAGCGATAGCGCCGTTGTGTTGTCGAAGGCTTCCACGGCTTCCTCGTTAGAGATATTGTGTGCGGCGCAATCGTACTGGAGGTTGTTGGCCCCCGCCAGCATTCTGACTGTGTGCTCCTGCCGCCGTGTGTCCGGCGTCGGACCCTGCTCTGGTTTGTAGAGGAGTATTCCGTCCGCTACGGCCGCCGCTAACGCCCATGAAGTGACCACCAGAAGCATCGCCGTGGTGGTCACGCCAAGGTACCCGAATCGCAGCATTGCCGCAATCACCAAGTGACATAGCTTTGTTCCACCGGCCACGCTTCGGCCGTCGAGAAGATATTTACTCGGTTTGGGTGAACGCGCACAGAGTACGTTCCGTCGCGCGTTGCAACAAGCCGAGTACTCCTTAAATGCACAAGAAAGACTCCTACTACGACCGGACGTCCGCCAGCCTCCTGTTAACACCCTCGCACAGTAGTGCTGCACCAACTCTTGCCGCGCCTGGCGCGCATACGGCGCATGATGTAGCATGTACATGTACAGAATCACACGGCATCCCTCCGTATTTGATGGAAAACCCGAGCGTTTCAAATTTCAATTTTTCTCCCCACTGAAGGATCCGGACACCACAGCTGATCGCGCCTTCGCTCTGTAGTCCAAACACTCGCCATGACCGCGGGCAGGGGATTGAGGCCTCCCAGCCTAATCGACAAGGCGATTTCGCTCGTGAAAGGGTTCGATCCCAAGAAACAGACGGTAGACTCGTACGCCGACGAGGCCACTCAGACGGGAGAGTCTCATGGTGACGCGATCTTCCTCAAGCAGGCACGGCACTGAACGACTCGCAGGGTGTAGTATTTGTGCACTCGACAACCTTTGGTGTTTCGTCTCACCTTCGAAGCGACGAACTTTTCTGGGTGCAAAAGGAGTCCTGGTATACCGCACCCGTTATTTCCGGAGGGACCCATTCAAAACTATGGTTGCGTCTGTGCTACATGTAAATTTATTTACCCGTAGATTGTCGTTGCCTAGACTAGGCCTACAGGCCATATAGGTACTACCTGTTACGCGCATGCAGGACACAGGTAGCAGTGGGTAAGAGTGCTGCATGTGAGTTGACATGTCCACCAACTACCAAGTGTAGCGTACGTCCTTCATTATTGCAGGGCTCGAAAAGACGGGTTGGTTCATTTCCTAGACTTCG